CTTAACTTATTAGTGGGACCAAGCAGCAATATATCCTCTTAACTTTTTAGTGGGACCAAGCGGCAATATATACTCTTAACTTATTAGTGGGACCAAGCAGCAATATATAATCTTAACTTATTAGTGGGACCAAGCAGCAATATATACTCTTAACTTATTAGTGGGACCAAGCAACAATATATACTGTTAATTTATAGTGGGACCAAGCAGCAATATATACTCTTAACTTATTTGTGGGACCAAGCAGCAATATATACTCTTAACTTATTAGTGGGACCAAGCAGCAATATATACTCTTAACTTTTTAGTGGGACCAAACAGCAATGTATACTCTTAACTTATTAGTGGGACCAAGCAGAATATATACTCTTAACTTATTAGTGGGGCCAAGCAGCAATATATACTCTTAACGTATTTGTGGGACCAAGCAGCAATATATACTCTTAACTTATTAGTGGGACCAAGCAGCAATATATACTGTTAACGTATTAGTTGGACCAAGCAGCAATATATACTCTTAACTTATAAGTTGGACCAAGCAGCAATATATACTCTTAACGTATTAGTGGTACCAAGCAGCAATATATACTCTTAACGTATTAGTGGGACCAAGCAGAATATATACTCTTAACTTATTAGTGGGACCAAGCAGAATATATACTGTTAACTTATTAGTGGGGCCAAGCAGCAATATATACTCTTAACGTATTTGTGGGACCAAGCAGCAATATATACTATTAACTTATTAGTGGGACCAAGCAGCAATATATACTGTTAACGTATTAGTTGGACCAAGCAGCAATATATACTCTTAACTTATGAGTGGGACCAAGCTGCAATATATACTCTTAACTTATTAGTGGGACCAAGCAGCAATATATACTCTTAACTTATTAGTGGGACCAAGCAGCAATATATACTCTTAACTTTTCAGTGGGACCAAGCAGCAATATATACTCTTAACTTATTAGTGGGACCAAGCAGCAATATATAATCTTAAGTTATTAGTGGGACCAAGCAGCAATATATACTGTTAACTTATTAGTGGGACCAAGCAGCAATATATACTGTTAATTTATAGTGGGACCAAGCAGCAATGTATACTCTTAACTTATTTGTGGGACCAAGCAGCAATATATACTGTTAACGTATTAGTTGGACCAAGCAGCAATATATACTGTTAACTTATTAGTGGGACCAAGCAGCACTATATACTCTTAACGTATAAGTGGTACCAAGCAGCAATATACACTCTTAACTTATTAGTGGGACCAAGCAGAATATATACTGTTAACGTATTAGTGGGGCCAAGCAGCAATATATACTCTTAACGTATTTGTGGGACCAAGCAGCAATATATACTCTTAACTTATTAGTGGGACCAAGCAGCAATATATACTCTTAACGTATTAGTTGGACCAAGCAGCAATATATACTCTTAACTTATTAGTGGGACCAAGCAGCAATATATACTCTTAACTTCTTAGTGGGACCAAGCAGCAATATATACTCTTAACTTTTTAGTGGGACCAAGCAGCAATATATACTCTTAACTTATTAGTGGGACCAAGCAGCAATATATCCTCTTAACTTTTTAGTGGGACCAAGCGGCAATATATACTCCTAACTTATTAGTGGGACCAAGCAGCAATATATAATCTTAACTTATTTGTGGGACCAAGCAGCAATATATACTCTTAACTTATTAGTGGGACCAAGCAACAATATATACTGTTAATTTATAGTGGGACCAAGCAGCAATTTATACTCTTAACTTATTTGTGGGACCAAGCAGCAATATATACTCTTAACTTATTAGTGGGACCAAGCAGCAATATATACTCTTAACTTTTAAGTGGGACCAAACAGCAATGTATACTCTTAACTTATTAGTGGGACCAAGCAGAATATATACTCTTAACTTATTAGTGGGGCCAAGCAGCAATATATACTCTTAACGTATTTGTGGGACCAAGCAGCAATATATACTCTTAACTTATTAGTGGGACCAAGCAGCAATATATACTGTTAACGTATTAGTTGGACCAAGCAGCAATATATACTCTTAACTTATAAGTTGGACCAAGCAGCAATATATACTCTTAACTTATTAGTGGGACCAAGCAGCAATATATACTCTTAACTTATTAGTGGGACCAAGCAGCAATATATACTCTTAACTTATTAGTGGGACCAAGCAGCAATATATAATCTTAACTTATTAGTGGGACCATGCAGCAATATATACTCTTAACTTATTAGTGGGAACAAGCAGCAATATATACTGTTAATTTATTAGTTGGACCAAGCAGCAATATATACTCTTAACTTATTTGTGGGACCAAGCAGCAATATATACTATTAAAATATTAGTGGAACCAAGCAGCAATATATACTGTTAACTTATTAGTGGGACCAAGCAGCAACATATACTCTTAACTTATTAGTGTAACCAAGCAGCAAGATATACTGTTAATTTATTAGTGGGACCAAGCAGCAATATATACTCTTAAGTTATTTGTGGGACCAAGCAGCAATATATACTCTTAACTTATTTGTGGGACCAAGCAGCAATATATACTATTAAAGTATTAGTGGGACCAAGCAGCAATATATACTGTTAACTTATTAGTGGGACCAAGCAGCAACATATACTCTTAACTTATTAGTGTAACCAAGCAGCAATATATACTGTTAATTTATTAGTGGGACCAAGCAGCAATATATACTCCTAACTTATTTGTGGGACCAAGCAGCAATATATACTGTTAACTTATTAGTGGGACGAAGCAGCAATAACTGTTATAACCTGCATTACAGATAGACAAACACAAATAACTTGAATATTCAAAAAAGCATACAAATAGATATGAAAAAGACGCCAAAACATAATTTTTGTATTGAAAGTGATCATGGTGATAGTACATATAGGATAGTAAATCATTATTTCATATACACTTTCCTGATAAAATGTTATGTTGAATAGAGGCCAAACATTTGAACTCAAACCTTGCAACATGCACACATAGACCCCTCAAAGAATTGTTGCAAAATTGTTTAAACGTGCAGACTGTGACACTCTTTCCAAATACAAGGTTCTGTCTGCATTCCGATCAGACGGGCTGTGTATTGATACATTTCGCACAACCAACTGGATGCTACATTTTGGCAAGTGTCTTACTGCCTGTCGGGAGAAATCAAAGTGCTGATATTTCTTTACTATCAACAGGATGAAAACTAACTATAACACGTATAATAGATAATGCGTAAATTTGTATGACAAAAAAATGTTCACTATTATGAAAAGCCTAGTCACGATTCTACAATAACTCGTAACTAGTCTTTTTACTCTTGTCCAAATATACCTGGATAATTACAACTGAAGGATACATGTATATATTTAGAACTCACATCCATGGCGGGTTCCAGATCTATGGCAGATTCCCAATCTATGGTAAATATGACGTCTTGCCATTCCAAATCTATGGCAGATTTTTTAAATGCAAATCTATGGGAAATTTTGTAGTGACCTAATCTGTGGCGGAATTTCTAGTTTCCAAATCTATACCATGATATAAATGCGGCACCCGTAGTAATGTCCAAAGGTAACGAAAAGCCTTTAGTAATTATTAGTCAGTATTCGAAAAACGGATTAGGAATACGTCAACGGGAGCATATTCATAACCATCTGTGAATTGGACCTTCCATAAATAAAGGCAACAGTAGTATACCGCTGTTCGAAATCCATAAATCGATTGAGAAAAAAACAAATCCGGGTAACAAACTAAAACTGAGGGAAACACATCAAATATACGAGGAGAACTACGACATAACAGAAACACAACAATAAAATGTAACACACACAGAAAAAAACTATAATATAACAATGGCCATATTCCTGACTTGGTACAGGACATTTTAAGAAAAAAATGGTGGGTTGAACCTGGTTTTGTGGCTAGCCAAACCTCCCGCTTTTATGGCAATGTTAAATATAACATTAAAATGACAACAATACATGACAGGACTACAATACAAATAAATGGCAGAACATATAGGACAACGGTCAACCAGATTGTGATGGCGACCATAATATTTCCTAAGTGAGGAAGTGATATATACTGAAACAAAGTTTAGAAGTGAAATGATGTGCCCCGGGAGGATAAGCATTCCCTACTCTGTACACGGTACTTGTTTTACCCAGTCATTTAACCAACTAGTCAAAATGAAGTCTATTAACAAACCAAAATGCAGTTTGAATAAAGAATTGAACAATTTGCCTTTTTATATAATATTTATTTTGGTTTTAATAAATCTTTTTTAACTGATAACATTTAAGTCAAAGTGGTATCCTGTGATTTCATCCCTCACTTTATGTACTTTGCAAGCCGTAGATGCTAAACTATTAACTATATAATTTCTTTCCTGAAATATTCGCTTCTAAAAATAGTGTTGCCTTTATTCATCGCGGTATTAGGACGGTACAGCATATGATGTCTCTCCTCTGGTTAAAATGCCACATCTTCCTGTAAACCGTCAAGAGGGGAAACGGAAAGTGTTTCTCTAGCTTTGTATTTGTTTGTTAAACTCTGTGAGTCCCGGGTAATATGACGTTATTTAAATTGTGACGCTATAGTTTACTCTTCCATGGACAATTACGCAATTTCAAAATCTACAAAAGATTTGGAGAAAACTTAAAACTGCCATAGATTTATGATTTGTATGGTATTTGTGACGTCATATTTGCCATTGATTTGAAATCTTCCATAGATCTGGAACCTACCATAGATTTGAGTCCTACATATATAATAAAGAAAAGCTGTGATTGATCGATTAATTGTTGTTAATATAGTGACCCCTAGCAAGTTATTCATGCAAAATTAAGCCAGGACAATATCAACAATAAATCCAATGAAAAAAACCTTGACAGCAACCTATGTAAATAACCTGTACGTTATCGATTATATTAGGCTGATGCAAATGACAAATTCATTTTTTTACAGAAAAGTACTTTAACTAGAAGATAGAAATGAATAGCGTGAACTGCCAACTTATGGACAACAACTTGAATATCGGCAACAACTGTATACACCTGATTGAGTTTTCGCAAACAAACATTGATGAGTCATTTATCTGCAGTTAACATTAGAGCTGTTATTTGTTTTATTATTATTTTTTTTTTAATTCATAATAGACATGCCTATGGTTCGGAGTGTTTGCATTCCTTTTGTATTTTATGTTTTCAGAGTTTTAAATTGAATTAACAAAACAAATGATATAATAAATCACTTCTATTACAAATCATCTTGTTAATTTACACTGATGAATAAATTAAAAACGAAATCCAAACTTTACTTGTAGTTTCTTGATAAGGAAAAAAGTAAAATCACAAAAATACTAAACTCCGAGGAAAATTCAAAACGGAAAGTCCCTAATCAAATGGCAAAATCAAATGATAAAATCAAACGAATGGACATCAACTGTCATATTCCTGACTTGGTACAGGCATTTTCAAATGTAGAAAATGGTAGATTGAACCTAGTTTTATAGCGCTAAACCTCTCACTTGTATGACAGTCGCGTCAAATTCCATTATATTTACAACGATGCGTGAACAAAACAGATATAATAGGTAACATTGTCAAAATATGGGTAAGTCATCACTGTGTCACAATCTCAAAACAAACAAACATTTAACAAAGAAGCACAAAAAGCATCTAGCAAATTTAACAACAACATTCATTGCTTACTTATATATGTATTATAAATCAACCCATAAAAGATTGAAATATTTAAAGTCCTGTGACTGCAATCACATCTACTCTTAGTGTAGAGTCGCGTGTTTGACGCCAGAAAATGTAAACGTCACACAGGAAAAAATATAAAATAATTTTGTCGTTCAAAGTATTTTCAAAGTTATAATTTCACATGGGGTATGGTGGTATACAGGGTTGAAAAATCAAAAGTTTTTGTTAAAACTAATTTCAGAAAAAGTCCTAGATTTAAAATTATCCAGAAGTTCTTTAGAATTTTTAAGAATCCACATATGGTTAATACCACTACGCGAGTAAAATAATTTTGTCGTTTAAAGTATTTTCAAAATTATAATAGAACAATAACTTAATGGTATTATAATAGAACAATTACAAAATGGTGGGATCTTTAAAAGTACAGAGCCACGTCATAAGTACCAAAGAAACACATAAAGTCACACGTACAAAACACACCAGCAAAAATGAAAGATAATACAAACACATTGACGGGATGTATAAGTACCGAGCCACGTCAATTAATATATTAAAATATTGAACTTCAGATTACCTTCAATTAACATAGAATATGCATTGAATATTGTATAAGCAAAACAAAAACTTTGACTTTTTATATGTGATGAGTTAAAGGAGGGTTAAAAGGTTCATAAGAACCCGGAAGTGTCATTCTTGATATATTATAGTTATAATTTTGTCTTGTGTTTGGCCTACTTCTGCTGGGTTGTTGTTTCTTTGGAACTGTTCCTACTCTGGGGTTTCTTCTCTTTGGATATATGACTCTGCTAACATTTCCAGTTTTGTCTGGAATTAATGTAACCATATATATCAATAGTGAGTTTTTTAAATACTTAGACTTCTGTTTTAGTAGTAATATTAATAAATGTTAGAGTATGTTAATATGTGGCGGAACATTTTTCTACAACTTTGACATAATTTTAAAAACAATTTTAACAAACTGAATAAAAAATCAATTAAACTTTTCTTCTCAAAAAAAAGTTGAGTAGTTTTATCTCACAAGAGTTGACTGCATCAAATTTTAATTCCAATTCATAGTTTTATCGCCTAGCATTCAACTATCAAAACTAAAGTCTAAAAATTAAGTTTTGCATTTGCAGTTTATGCTCCATACGTATGGAAATTTGAAATATATTTTACTCCAAAATACTGCCTGCCAGATATTAGATAACAACTGATAAACAGCCTGATCGTAACTTCAAATGGGGTCTTTTGTTTTTGTATGATAAGTTGTTAGGCGTGTTTTTGAAATGCGCATTTGGTGCAGAAAAATTGGTACCGTTAATGTTATTACTACCACTGGGTCGATTACTCTGTTGATGGACTTTTAGTCCCCAAGGGTATCACCAGCCCAGTAGCCAGTACTTCTGCATTTCTGAATTGGCATTTAAATACGGTTTTTTGTGTTATTGAAATTTGCTGTTACAAAATTTTGAAATTATTTGAAATAGAGAAATATATCTCATGCAAAACTCTGTTTCCTTGCCCAAATTTGGCTTTACTTTTTTTGTCCTTTTTGATTCATAAAAAGATCTTCATGTTTTTGATAAGCTTTTGATTTTCAATTATGTTGGCCTCCATCATCACTGAAGAGACATCTATTGTCGAAAAGCGCATCTATACAGAAACTTTGGTTGGGAACAATATTTTATCTATCATTAAAGACAATGTTTTAACTTAAGTCCTTAAATATTTTCATCAACAAATGTAGTAAGTATGAACGTATAAGAAATTGAAATCATAGATTTCAGGATCGAAGTCAACAGTACATGCGTCAAAAAACGAAAAGGTTATGTCTATTTTGTCAGATGGAACGGATGGTTTCACCAGCAAGATCAACAAATAATTCAGGTCAGTTGAACGTGCAAGTGGTAAAACGAATATAAATTAAATTAAAATAAATTAAAACATAACAATTTTTTCTATTCAGTTAAGAACATCTATGGTCTTATAGCTGCTTACATCCACGTCATTTGATCTCTGTGTTGGATAGTTGTCTCAATTGTAATTATCTCCCTTGTTTTTTTTAAAATTATGCACGTAACACGTAATAACGCCTTATACAGGAATTTTAACATGTGCTCTTTTTGTACTCACATCTCATAAGTTGAATGAATATTTGAAGTATTAAGTGAAACTTACGTTTTACAACCGCTGAGACACAACATATTGCTACTACCAGAAATATACCTCCAACAATGCCACCAGCAATGGCCCTAGTTAAATATATTGTTGAAATTAAATAAAAGGAATAAACATTTATAATCAAATACAGCAATGCTTAAGTCAAATAACATTAACGGTACCAATTTTTCTGCACCAGATGCGCATTTCGACAATAAATGTCTCTTCAGTGATGCTCGAGGCCAAAATGTTTGAAAATCCAAAGCTTATTAAAAAGATGAAGAGCTATAATCCAAAAAGGTACAAAAAGTATAAGGAATTAGATCTTTCCATGAGGGAGATACTTTCCTTAATTTATAATAATTTCTAACATTTTGTAAATGCAAATTTTAATAACAAATAAATCCGTATTTTCATGCCAGTACTGTCTAAAGTTACAGTGCCCAATTTGCATCTATTTTGCATAAAAAGTGAAGGATACCTTATATGTTTTTATACAGATTCTTTGGTCATTTGGTCTCTTGTGGAGAGTTGTACCATTGGCAATCATACCACATCTTATTTTTATAAACAATTCGTATGTTATGATTTATTATTATGCGCGTCTTTTCAGCATAGTTACATATTCTTAAAGATATACAAAACATTCACATTATATATATCAGTCTCCAGTGAACAAAGTAAAGTTAACGGCAACGTTGCATACGACGTCTAAAAATGTCGACTTTTAAACATGAAATTGAATATGTGTCAAAATATTGGGGAGAAAAAAACATCAAGTATTCGATTTTTACGAATTGATACATTGAGCTTTCCTGGTGAAAAAAAAAACGCTTCGGACGCATGAAATTTATAACGTGTTGTTTTTATTTTTTACAGCACTGGGTCGATTCCTCTGCTGTTGGACTATCAGTCCCCGGGGGTATCATCAGCTCAGCAGTCAGTACTACGATACTGACGTAAGTTATAAGAAACCTTTCAAAAATTGTCCGTTTATAAATTTTGAACTAGTTTCAACTCCATCAGGCAAAGTTGACCTTCGATGGATTTTCCTATTTTTTATTTTGTGGTCGTAGTTCTTAGCTCTTCAACTGTTGCGGTTTTTATACTTGGCTTTCACGTATTTGGCATTGGGTATTCCTGCTGAATTCAATTAAAAAAAACGCTTCGGACGCATGAAATTTATAACGAGTTGTTTTCATTTTTTACGGAAGTGTAGTAAAGCAAAGTATAGACTTGTTTTCATATTACCGACTCGGGAGTGTATAAATTTTCGACTGTCTCTTTTGAACTGTGCTAATATGTAAAAACAAGAAAAATATTCGCAGAAGTTAACTTACCCTCCTGATGGTGAAGAGCTGTAACTGTAACTATAACTCGAACTGCCACTATAACTGGAACTGTACCTGGGAATGAACAAGTAACTGTTACAACTTGATGTACCTGTACAACGGTAGTTCGTAGGACAACACCATTCATACCCAGTACAATGAAAGTAACCACCAGGGCAACCTCCTACAAAGATATAATTACTACTTTAGTTCGTTAACGGATTAAGAATACATCATATCTTATGAAGGGCATCAAGAATTAAAACAAAGTACTGCTGATGTGAACATATATTATAGGTCTTTTTTAAATCGATAAAAGTGCAATAACGCGATCATGTATATAGGAAGTTCCAATCTCTTTCTGTTTTTCCATCAAAACAATTACGTCTTATCGTTCTTCAATTATAATCTTATATATAAAAATAATGTGATGTGGTATGATTGTCAATGAGACAACTATCCACCAGATTTAAAATGAAGCGGTAGTAAGCATTTATAGGCCATCATACGACTTTAAACAATGAGAAAAACCCATACCGTATAATCGGTCTGTTGTTTAACGTGCGTAAAAATATAAAAAGTATTTAATCGTAGCTGATGGAGAGGTATGAAACAGTCATAGGCGGATAAAGGATTTTTAAATGACAACAAGGTATTTGCATGAAACTCGGAAATAATCAACGAGCGAAGCGAACACAAATAATTTTATGCAAGAAAGTTATATTTTTTTCTGACCCCGGTATATATTTTGGAAAATATAATTCCCGGCCCACATTGAAACAGGGACTAACGAGTCTCTTCCCTCCCTGCATCCGTAACTACTGGTAGAAGCTTTCCGCCACTTTTCGGTTGAAAAATTTAATTCAAGTAACTATCTTTCAAAGTGCTTTGCTGCTTAACTTGTCAAAGCTATTCATTCGTTACATTCATTAAGTTCGTCCTTTATAAAGCAACACATGTTTGGTGCAGTATATTTTGAAAAACCCCTTTTATTTGTTTAAAAACCATTTTAAAAGAGAGACGACAGATCCCAGAGGGACAATCAAGCTCAAAAGAACACATGGATCGATTTGAAACAAACAGATCAATGTAACTCAAAGGAACATCGGATAAA